TAGCCAATTTGGGGCAATTATTTCTTAACTTTCTCTAATATAATCAGGTCCTGCGCACAGGGGATTATCAGGCTTACATCCCATGGATCCAATCAGGGAAGTCTATCAGCAAAACATACTTATGTTGATACAGCTATTATAATCTGCATAATTCTTCTGAGTTCACGTACTTAATGGATAGCAAACAGACTCATTACTGCCGCAGCTTACATCCATAGGATCTCTCCGAGCCATTCACTGCAGCGGTTTTTATTATTCATAGCTTTAGTTATTGATTTTCAGGAGAAGATACATGCTTTTAAGCCCCATAAAAGCAAGAGAGGAAAACAAATAGCGCCATTCCAAGATTAATACGCTGCTCCAAAGAAAAGTATGGCTGTCACGGTGCCCTGTGCAGAGCTGATGGAGCCTTGACAAATTCCATGCAAAATAGCTGAGTTGCTTAAGAAGCTAGTTAAATAATTGAAAGGCAAGTTTTACTGGAGGCAGGGAAGTTCTTCCCAAATCCACTTCCTTAGATTTATGAGCTTGGGGTATGTTAATCAAGACAAGGGCAGGATGCAGCTGGGATGGCGGGTGGGAGGTTTAAGGGATATAGGGTATGATAAAGTGTGGTCCACCTCCACAAGGTCTCCAAGACAACAAGCTTGGATGCAGTGGTGATCCATGCTTGTCAAAGCATATACCTTAGGATAGCATTAGGACTGTTCATCCTGCCCCTTCACAGCTCTCCAGCACAGGATTTATCTCAAACCCAGACAACACAACTCAGCACTGCCTGCAAAGAGGCTCTTTCCCTCTTGCCCCAGTGGGTTTCCATAGCAAACTCATGGGATCGCAGTATCATTTAGGTTGGAAAAGACCTTTAACATCAAGTCCACCACTAAACCACGTCCCCAGGCACCACATCCACCATCTGTTAAACGTCTCCAGGGATGCTGCCTCCACCACTTCCCTGGCAGCCTGTTCCAGTGCCTCTCCAGCCCAGCAGCAGCACTGGGAAGTGCTGGCCAAGCCTCCAGCATCTCAGCATGACAGCAGCCCTTTCATCACCTCCTGCTCCCTGGCAGGCAGAGCTCTGCGCTGCTAAATCAACCAGGTAGATCAGAGCCATCATCCCTAGCAGGAAGACTCCCAGCTTCAGGATATTGATGCTAGGAATAGCTTCCAGCGCCCAAGAGCCCCTTCAAAACAGACATCACAGGACAGCAAGCACAAAGCCAAGCTCAGAGCTGGCAGAGCATGGCAGCAAAGCAGCGATGCACTCGTTCGTTCACTTCAAGGCTCATGCAAGAGGCAGAGAACCTTCCAAATGACAACATTTCTATAGCAACTGGGTTCCCACCGTGGTCTTTTGGTTCCAGACACTGCACAGGCTGTCTCTATATCAATAACCCTGCTTCTCAAGGAAAAACACCCATAAGATTCAATGCAAGCTGCATCTCATACAAAGACAAGGAGGGATGCAGCAAGAACACCTGCACTCAGCATAGGCACCTTATAACCAGCCTCTTAAGTCTGTGCTGGAGAGGCTTTGGGCCTCAAGACATACAAACCACTTCAACTCCCTTCTTTCAAGCCCACAGTGGATGAGTCAAGTGTTTCAGGCTTCCACACTTGACTTCCATGTTCCTCATTTGACCACCAAGCCATTCATTTGCAGCTATTCTGGCTGCTGATGCTCTGCTGCACTCGAGATCCTCATCCTCCAAACACAGCAACACTTCACTATGGGCAATTCACATGGGATTTATGTGTCCCCCACTTTTCCCAACCATTTAATCAAGCCATTCCTGCTTTACTGGGGGGAGGGGGGGGGGGGGGGGAGAGGATGGATAGCAACCCTATAGGATGAAGCTGCCTGCTCTGGCAGTGCCTTGCCACACCATCACCTCTTTTATATCTGCGTTCCAAGAGGAGGAATTGCCCCTGAAGTGATTTCCCTTGTTAAAACAGGGAATTGTGAGTACTTTTCCCCCGGGAAATAACTCTAGCACACATGAGTCAGGTCATTGTTTTACATCCCCCTCCCCTTTAAAGCATCCACACAGCCATAACTTTAACTTAGAGTATCTTACAGAGGTATGGCCCTTCCCAAGAGCAATCCAGTTAAGCAAAGCACTATGTAAATGGGTGTAAGTGCACTGTGCAATAGAGGTGTAAGCATTAAAGGACCTCAGAAACTCTCCTCTCACTTCAAGTAGGGAAATCCATGATCCAAATGAAATCAGGTGCTTGAGAACAGCAGCTCAGGCAGGTGATTTAATCCTCCACATGAGCCATTTGGAAGGACCATCATCCCCAAGGACAAGCAGAGCAGGTTTGCACACAGCATCTCGCCTCCCAAGATCATTCTTGCTCTGTTTTGCATCTCTCCATTCACACTGAACTGTCAGATTCCTGACTGGCACCCACTGTAAATGAATCTCTTTTTATTGGCCACACTTCCCAGCAAAACTCCAGAACAACAGCTCCTTTATGCCACATATTGTATGGCACTGAAAAGCTAGTACCTGCCAGCCCCCTCCACCAAGTAAAACAGGTAGAAGGGGGAGCAGGGATGTTCGTCACCATCAGCATCATGCTTTCCAACATCTTGGCATCACTCAGACAACTCAGAATCCTCCAGCTCCAGGAGTAAGAGGTACTGAGAGATCTTAGGAGCACCCTAAGAGAATGGCAATGCTGCACAGCCCATGTTAACAGCTTGCAGAAAGAAGCTCCTCTCCCCCAACTCTCTTTGATGAAGAACATACATTTTGCTTGCTTGCCCCCAAAATCACACTTCTAGCACCATTTATTCACACCCATTCGACTCTATAGCACTGATACTGGCCTAACGCATCTATTCACACCACAGCAGAGATGGCAGCAAGGGGAAGCCCAGAGCCCTGCACACAAGCAGCTCTCCAAGAGCCCTGGATGTGCAGTGATGCCAGGGACACACCAATCCACTACAGAGAGCAGCATTGCACCTCTGCTTCCCATAGGATTTGGCTGCAAAGAGCCTCTTTGTGAGTCTAACCCAACGGGATGCCTTGTTAAGCCAAGGCTTTGATTAAAATAAGTTTTCCCGGTGCTCTGCTCTCCTGCAGCACCCAAATCCCCCCCAACAGCAGCTCCCACGGCCAGGAACATCCTTTAATGCCCACTTGGTGGGTTTCTTAACTTCATTTACTCTCCATGCGAGCTCAAGAAGGGTAACTACACACAAAGGAAAAACCAGAAAGCCCTAAAACGCTCTGGCAATAGAAACGCTTCTCACCCCATCAGCATTTAACACCATGGACAAAGAACCATTCCAGAAATAACTTCGCAGGACATCCCAAACCCCAGAACATGGCGGCAGCCATAAAGAACCCTTCTTTACTGCTTTATTCTTAGTAGCTCCATAGGGATTTCCTTGGAGGATAAAAGATAAGGATCGTCAAGGCACTCACCCATCTGCAGTCACAGGAGAAGAGAAACCATGTAGACCATCCGACGTCCGCGTCCCCATCGCTGGAGTGCCAAGAAGAAACCAGTCCTCCCCCAGGCTGTTTTGTACCCAAACCCCACCCTCTGACCCCCTGATTAACCCCTGGCCACAACCTGAGCCTCATTTGAGCCTAAAACACCTTTTTTGGGGCTGGTTTTGACTGCTGCGATTGGGAAGCTTTAGTAATGCTAATGTGCCCCAGGTGAGGCGCTGGGCAGCGCAGCTGCTGGTTGATGGCCGCGTTATATAAGCTGACATCGATATCAGCTTATATAATAATATTAATATGTAAAAGAGCAAAAAGATGAAAAATTTTCCTTTTTTAGCGATAAAAAATAGGTTTTGTTTTAAATGCGTGTAAAAATAGGTATAAAAATAAAGGGAAAAAAGGCTATTTTCCAGTTCCCGCCCAAAACAGAGACATGAGGGAAGGGGTTTTCCCGCCTTTTCTCCAAGCCTTCCGTACCCCGAAGTCCTCCCGCCCGCCAGGGGGCGCTGTGAAAAGGGAGGAGGGCGGTCAGGCGGAGGTGGGAGGTACCGGAAGTGGAGGCGGTAATGGCGGCCGGTTCCCGGTGGTGGATATAAGCGCCCCGGGGGGGGCCGATTAGGGCTCAATGTGTCTCGTTGTGGGTCTTATGGGGGTCTGTGGACTCGTGTTCCATAGCTGTGCTGTCTCCGGTGCTTATAGAGCTTCTCTGCTAAGGTATTGGGGTGGCTGGGTCCCGGTGCTCGGGGTAGGCGCTTGGTCTGTTGGCCTGTGGTAAAGAGCTGTGTTTGATGGGGGTTTAGTGAGACCCGGTGCGTGAGCGCGGTTGTTTGGGTCTTTAAGGGCCCTGTTCTATGGGGATGCTTTAATCCTTAGGGAGGAAGCCGGCTTTGTGGGGCTCTGTTGGGCCTCCTGAAGGAGCCCCGTCTGTCGGGCTACATTGAGCCCCAGTGCCCGGTGAGGGGTCGGCTCTGTTGGGCTCCATTGAGCCCCAGTCCCCGGTGAGGAGTCGGCTCTGTTGGGCTCTATTGAGCCCCAGTGCCTGGGGAGGGGTTGGCTCTGTTGGGCTCCATTGAGCCCCAGTGCCTGGGGAGGGGTTGGCTCTGTTGGGCTCCATTGAGCCCCAGTGCCCGGTGAGGGGTCGGCTCTGTCGGGCTCTGTTAAGCCCCAGTGCCTGGTGAGGGGTCGGGTCTGTTGGGTCCTATTGTGCCCCAGTGCCTGGTGAGGGGTCGGCCCTGTTGGGCTCTGTTAAGCCCCAGTGCCTGGTGAGGGGTTGGGTCTGTTGGGTCCTATTGAGCCCTAGTGTCTGGTGAGGGGTCGGGTATGTTGGGTCCTATTAAGCCCTAGTGTCTGGTGAGGGGCCGGGTCTGTCAGGCTCCATTGAACCTCAGTGTGGTGGGCTCCTGTGAGCCCTGCTGCCCAGTGGATGAGCCCAGTTGTTTGGGCCCTGTGCTCAGTAAAGGAGGTGGTTTTGCTGAGCTGTAGTAAGCATGGTCAGTGGGCCCATGAGGCTTATGGGACCTTAGAACAGTTGAGAAGCCTCAGGGCTCCATGAGGAGCCTGGAAGGTTGAACCTTGACAACTTGAAGCAGCTCTTGGGTGAGTCTCAAGTGTGGTCCCCTTGTCCAGCCATGCCAGCCCAGGGGCCATCAGGCCTCCGGCGCCTGCTGCTGGCCCTGGGGGCTGCCCTGGGCTGGCTGCTGGCCCTGGGGCTGCTGCTGGACCTGCGTGCCTTGGGGCTGCTCTGCGGGCTCCTGGCAGCATTAGGGGGGTGGCTGGGCCCTCAGGCTCTCACCCCCTCGGGCCGGCGCCTTCGGCTGGAGCGCTTCGTGAGCTCCCTCCAGCCCCAGCCCCAGAGCCCATCGGCCGTGGGGAGGCTGGAGGGGGAGATCGCCAGCACCGTGCGCAAGGTGCTGCGGGACTTCGTCACCTCCTGGTACCGCACGGTCAGCACCGAGCCGGCCTTTGAGGCCGAGGTGGAGAAGGCCATGCTGGGGCTCACCGCCGAGCTGAGGAGGCGCATGGCGCGGGTAGACCGCCACGCTGTTGCCCGGCGCCTCCTCCTCCTCTGTGGGCACCACTTGCAGAGCTACCTGCAGGCTCGTGAGGCTTTGAGGTGTGAGCCCAAGGGCGGCCAGGCTCTGTGGCAGGAGTACAGCCGCCTTGCGGGGCCACATCCTGCTCTCCAGAGCCCTGCGGCTGAGGTGGACTATGCCAGAGCTGCTGTGGAGACCTTGCTGCAGGCGCTGGTGCCCCGGCCCCACTTGGAGACCCGGACTGGGCGCTTCGTGGTGGTGGAGCTGGTGGCCTGCAATGTGCTGCTGCCGGCCATCAGGAAGATGGCTGATCCCGACTGCATCAACCTGCTGCTCATCGGGGCCTTCTCTAAGAAGCCACGGAGTGAGCAGGCACCTCCTGCCCCCCCAGTGCCTGAGGTCTTGCCTGTCGTGGAGCACGCAGACCCCGCTCCTGTTGGGATGCCACCTTCCCCAAGGGCAGCAGAGGTGCCCAAGCGAGAGGCGGGGGCTGCGGGTGATGAGGGAGAGGATGTGGTGAGCAGGTTGTGCCACACTGAGGAGCCCTTCCTCCGCCCACGAGCGCTGGGCTCCCTCTTTCCCTGTGAGGGTTTGGAGCTGGAGTCTCCTGCTCCTGAGGCAGGCCAGGACGTGGACTTGCTGGTACCATCCCCTGCAGGGGAGTTCCTTGAGGAACCTCTCCAAGTTGCCTCCGCTGTTCTTGAAGGACTGGATGTTGCAGGGGATGGTATAGGGGAGCTGGAGGAGAGCATTGCCACCCCTTCTGCTGTTGTGCTGAGCTCCTGCCCAGACATCCAGATCGACCCTGCAGTTGAGAAGGAAGAAGAAGCATCAGTTGTCCCTAAGAAGTCCTCCTCACAGAGGCCCTCCAGCTTGGGGAAAGACCTGGGGGCAGCAGAAGGCCCATCACAAAGCTCTCCAGACCCTGGGCAGGCTCTGTCCCTGCTCTCCTCTTCCCCAACGGCCTCCATCAGCACCTTCAGCTTTGAGCCCCTCAGCAGCCCTGATGGACCAGTGGTCATCCAGAACCTGCGGATAACTGGGACCATCACTGCCAGAGAGCACAGTGGGACTGGTTTCCACCCCTACACCCTCTATACTGTTAAGGTAAAGGCTGTCCCAGAACTCGCCCCTTATCCAAGATCCCTGTCCTGGCAGGGAAGCATGGGATGATTGATGTTTGGGAAAGAGGATTTGCCTTGTGTGTGGTTCTACAACAGATTCTGGCAGTGGGGCAATACTGGCCTCAGTGGTTTGTGGCCTTCTGGGTGTGGGATGGGGTCCTGCTCTTGGCCAAGGGTTGCGTGAGGCCAGTTGGGTCCTTGGTGCCCATCATGAGGGGTTCGCTTGCTCTGAAGCTGCTGCCCTTCACAGAGGGCTCAATCTGAAGCCATTGGTGAGGACCTCTGCGGGGTCTGGGGCTTGCAGGGACCACAGGAGGGTTGTGCAGGGCTCTGCAAGGATCATTCTGTTGCTTTCTCCTCAGTATGAGACAGCCCTGGAGAGCGAGAGCAGCGCGGGCAGCCTGCAGCAAGTGGCTTATCACACCGTGAACCGCCGCTACCGCGAGTTCCTCAACCTCCAGACCAGGCTGGAGGAGAAGCCAGAGCTCCGCAAGCTCCTCAAAAGTCAGTGTCTGCATCAGCTCCTCCTCCCTCTCACCCCAGCCTGGGCTCTGAGGGTATCCCATCCTGCCTGGGCAGCTCTGGATGCTGGGCTCTGTGGTACCCGTTGGTGTGGGAGCACTGGGATCTTCTTGGTATATAAGAAAGTAGAGTAATATGAGCTTTTTAACAAAGAAAAGTGTGTTTTCTCATGCTGCTTATGTATAAAGCTTCACTGAGCTTAGCAGGTTCCTACCTAACCCTCTGCTTCTGATAGATCTGAGGGTTCAGCTGTAGAATTGCTTTGCTGAGGAATTTTTGGGCCCTGAGTGCTGTAGAGTCCTTGTGCTAAACTGGTGCTTGTGCTGCCTTCAACTTGAAAGGTGAATGATGCAAAATCCAGCAGAGCACAAGTTCTCTAAGGTCTCATGTGGCTACCCTGGTTTGAGGGGCATGTAGATCATCTTGGGCTCTACACCCATGCCAGGCAGTGTGTAGTGATAGCTTTCAGCCATGAAAGCATTAAGGTTTTAATACACTTGTTGCTGTTGGGTTTGTTCCCTTTGTAGATATCAAAGGCCCAAAGAAATTGTTCCCTGATCTCCCATTTGGAAACATGGACAGTGATAAAGTGGAAGCCAGGAAAAGTCTGCTGGAATCTTTCCTGAAGGTGAGATATTTGTTGTGTGCCCTTGTGAACTAGAAAGCCAGAGCTTGGGACAGCTCTAGAATGAGTGGAGCACATCAGATCTCTTCCCAGCTTGCTCATGTATAGCATAGGTGGAAGTTGACTCCCAAAAGGCCTAAAGCTCCATCTTTCCTTGCAGCAATTGTGTGCAGTGCCTGAGATTGCAAACAGTGAGGAGGTGCAGGAGTTCCTGGCCCTGAACACTGATGCAAGGATTGCCTTTGTGAAGAAGCCTTTTGTTGTCTCCAGGATAGACAAGGTAGACAAGTGGGAACTGGGCCACTTAAAACTGCACCGTGGCATGTCTTTTAGCCTGCAGTTTCTGTATGTGGATGCTGCAGGAGTAGCCAAATAGGCTTGAATGCTCTGTAGTTGGGCTCAGCTTGCCTGGAAAGTCATAAAGCTACAAAGAAACTGGGGCTTTTAATAGAAAATAGAGCTCAAGCCTGAAAACTCCTATTTCTTCCCCAAGAAATAAGAATACAGGCAATAACTGATAGCACTTGTGGCTCTTGCAGATTGTTGTCAATGCCATTGTGGACACCTTGAAGACAGCATTCCCCAGGTCAGAGCCCCAGAGCCCCACAGAGGATCTCAGTGAGTCTGAAGTGGATGGAAAACCTCAGGCAGATGGGAAGAAGGGCAATAAGTAAGAGCTCCTTCAGCTTCTCTGTGCTTTGTGCAGAGCAGGGACTTCCCACATACACTGACTCCACTGTGACTTGGTGCTTCACATATTGTGGGCAGTACATTGCTGTTGTACTCCAGCTGAGTTCCTTTCATGTGCTGAGTAAGGGTAGTTGACTTCTTGCTTTGAGTTTCTAGGAGCACTGAGGCTTTCACAGAAGGTGGGTTTCTGCTTGAGGGACCTCTGAGGTGGTGACAAGGAGAATTGCTTTTTAACCTTAAGCCTATAGAGCGTGGTGAGGCCTTGCACAAGTGAAGGTTCACTCCTGCCTTGCCCATGTGCTTCACACAGTGCCATCTGCCTTGCTCAGCACACTGGAGTATCTCTTCAGGAGCACAGTTGAAGGTTAAGCATCTCTGTTGCTCACAAAGTGTGTATTTGGTGGTGCTGGCAGGGACAAGCCCCCTTGTGCTCATCAGTGATTGTTCCCTTGCACAAGGAGGGAAGGTTGCTCTGTGAGCGTGGCTTTGTTCTGGTAAATAGATGTTTTACTAGAAAAAGCTGCTTTGGGCAATAAGACACACCAAAAAAGCACAAGTTTTGAAGCATCTTGGCTGACAAAGGCATTCCTGAATGATAAACAGGCTGTTTTCCAATTAATTCTACAATCCCAAATGCCCTTTCATATCCTTCATGTGTGTGTTTATCACCAGATTGCACAATCCTGCTTGAGGGTGTTTCATCTCGGAGGCTTTTGTGAGCACCGTCCTGTGGATGCTGCAGTGCTCACACCTTACTGAGGAGAAATAAAACATGATAACTTGCATATAACACAGGGTGGATGTTATAAAGCCTTGCCAGGCCCATGTGTAACTGAGGAAAAAGGGTTTAATGCTTTTGTTTCATGGTTTTATTGCCAGCTCTTAAGTTATCCTGGGGGAAAATGCTGTTGTGGGTCTAATGGGATGTGTTACCCTGGATGTGACATGGGACAAGGAGAGTTGATCCCAGGTCTTGGTGGGGAACTCATCACTTGCAGCTTGTGGAGGCAAACTGTGCTGTGTTTCTCTTCTTCAGGTCCAGGCTGAGGTTCTCATCCAGTAAAATTACTCCAGTGCTGAGTGTGAGTGAAGCACAGGACAGGATCGTGTACTCCATCAGGGAGGGCAGCTCTGTAAGTCGAGATCCCCCACCCCTTAAGGTCCTTCCATGATCATAATCATTGCCCTGGCTGGGTGCTGCCTTGGGATAACCCATGTGCATGAGGGTTGTGGCTGTTGCAGAAAGGCACTAAGCAGCCATGGTTGTGCTGTTGGCTACAACAAGGTGTAAACCAGGTGGTGAGAGGCTGTTTGAGCAGTGGAGACCATGTATATCTGTTCAGCTCTGGCTGTGGCACTCATACACTGGTGTTTTTCAGGTCCCTGGCACCCTGTCCATGACTGCTATGGAGTCCTTCATCCAGAAGCAGGAGAAGCTGCTGGAGGCACTTCCCAGCAAAGGCCCTGAAGGCGAGGGAGGCAGAAAAGCAAAGGATAGCTCCATGCAGGATGATAAGGATGGGATGGACACATTGGAACAGGGGCAGCATCCTGACACAGGCTCTGGTGAGCTCAGCCCCTCTGTTAGTGCTTTACATATCCCCTGTGAGGATTGCTCTGGTCTTTGTTATTCCTAGTGAAATAGCAAATGGGGGCCTTGGCTCAGTTGTGTCACTGTAGAGCTTCACTTTAGGAGTACTCAGTACAGGCAGTGCAGAACTAAGTTACTTAAGGACATGCTGTTTAAAGTGCCAATGTTAAATCAAGCTCTTGGAAACTGCAAAATGGCCAAATTAGGGTTTCTTAGTCCCAAGTTAATTTTTATATATCCAGCCAGTATAAAAGGGCCTTTTGAGATGCTGTTAAGTGTGGCTAGATTTGGTACATACAGTACAAGGCATGGTGTTCCCTTTGTGCTTATAGATACCTCCCCTGAAGCACAAAGGTGTTATGGCCCCTCAGAGCAGTTATAAGATCATCCTGACCATGAGCAAAACAATGTTCTCTAATCTCTTTCTTGGAATAGCTGAGCTGTATCGGCTGGAACTTCCCAATATCTCCAAGCTTGGCAAGCTCTGACAGCAGACATGTGCTTGTGACAGGATGGGTCTGGTATTCAAAGACCAGCTTGTCTCTGAACACAACCCCTTGGTTGTTGTGGGGCTGCTGGGGAGCAGGACTGGAATGGGAGGCCAGTGTCATAGTGATCCAAGTTAGCTGAGCTCTGAAGGTCTGAGATGCTTCAGAGCTGAGCCAGGGCAGACTTCTCTGGCAGGGAGAGGGGAATGGATGTCTGCAGAGCAGCTGCCTACAACCAGTGTGAGGAGCTGCTCTGGGGCACTTCTGGGAAGAGGCTGGCCAGCAGCAGTCTGAGGAGGGGACTTGGATGCTGTGGGAATAAACAGAGCATGCTGATCCTCTTGGAGGTTCTGGTGGAGCTCAACAGCCTGCTTCAGGTCTTGCACAGTGAAGTCTCAAAGGGTGAAGCAAGTGAGGAGTGACTTAGGCATGGCCCAAAGAGGTGCTAAATGTACTCACACCTTGTCTTTTCCAAGTGGAATGGTCTGGAGTTAGTACAGTAGGGAGAGGAAGAGGAGGGAAGCAGAGGTGCTGGGGTCTAGAATCCTTCTTCCCTTTAGCAGCAGTAGATAAGTCTCACTGATGCTTTATAGGCAGAGTGGAGGGTTAGAGCATAGGAAGCTGCTACACAGGAGCTGGCAGAGCCAAAGCAGTAGCCTCAGGTTGAGATGCTTGTCTCAGGCAGGCTTATGGTCCATAAGCTCATTGAGGTTAACACCTATGCTGCTTTGGGGCCAAGCAGCATCAAAGTCATTCTCTAGGGTGTCAGATGTGCTTACACAGTGGGCTCTGACACCCTCCTAAATGGAGGATTCACAAAGAGCTTCTGCTGTCCCAGGTCTGTGTCACCAGGGCTAGGTGTGGGTTTGGTTTTACCTGATGCATCTGGTTTATCCAGATGGGGTTCATCCATCTTCCTGCTGAGACTTGGATCAGCCACACGATGGCAGCGTGAGGACACCAACCGCAGCCTTGAGCTTGGAAAAGAGCATGTTCAAAGAGGGGAAAAGACTTGGGGAGTGGGGAGGAAGAGGCCCCCCCCCCCCCAAAGGGCCTTTCTCCTAGCCTTGCTTCTCACCTGCTTTGGGCCTGTTGCCATCCGTGTGTGGACTGGGGCTTGACAATCCCTTGTCTTAACCGAGAAGGAATTTGGAGCATCCATATGCTGCTCTGGTGCACCCCTTGGTAGGGAGGTTGGGGCTGTTTGAATGACATGGAAATGAAAGAGTGACCAGGGCAGGTCACCTGTGTGGCACAGGATGCAAGGCTGGGGAGAAGAATGAGGTTTTGCACCAGGTTTGCTTCATTTGCCCCTCCTCTTCCTCCTAGCAGACTCAGAGACAGCTTTGGCTGACCTGGCCCTGGATGTGCTTCGCCTGCTGCTGATGGATCACTGGAGCTGGCTGTGCACAGAGAACATCCAGAAGGTCTTTCACCTGCTCTTTGGGACCCTCATTCAAAGGTAAGGCCTCAGCAACCAATCTCACAGCTCTGGGAGGTGGCATTTGGGGCTGCAGTCTTCAATGGCAGCTGTGTGCACATAAATGCTTTCTGCCACTTCAAGCAAGGTTCTGTTAAGGAGATGCCAATGTATGTAGAGTAAATGTCTTGGAGCTTTGCATCAGGAGCTGTTTCCCCCATGAGCAGCAATTTAACTCTAGCAGGTAGCCTCCTGTCCTGACCAGTGGAAAGGAAGGATCCAGCCCTGGGAATGGGAAGCTCCAGGGAGAAGCTGGCCTCTTGGTCTTAACAGTGCTCAGGGGCTGAGCTTTTTCCTTGGACAAAAAGAGCATAAACAGGCACAGGGAACAGTAACATGTCAAGTAACACCTCAGAGTGTGGCCTCCCAGGGCCTTTCTCACTGATAGAGCCTGCTCTGATCCATGGTGGGCCAGTTGTGCTGTGCCTTGGGCAATGACCCACAGATGTAGTAAGGAAAGACTTCCTTTCCAGCTGGGCTGGACTTGCCAAGCTGTTCTAGGGCCAGTGCCTCTGTGTGGTAAGGCACAAGGCCAAGACACACAAACAGAGCATTTCTGTGTTCTTGTGTAGTTTGGGGACTATCACTAGCTGAGGGAAGGGTCCTTTAGAGTACAAGGACAGCCTTCCTGGCAGGATTGGGGCTGGGGGAGTCTCAGAGCAGTGCTTTTCCCACCCCTGTGCCCCCTTTATTCCTTCACAGGCATTCCAAGCAGGGTCAGAATGTGCAGGGCAGCACATTAGAACTGAGCTGGTAACTTAAGCTCTTCTCAGCAGAGGTTGCCAAAGTGCTTTGAGGCTGCTTGGCCATCACTGCCAAGTCTGTTTCTTGGGTGGGTGTTGCTCCCATTGCTCCCAAATGGGCTCTGGTCTCTTGAGGAATGAGCTGGAATCCAATCCCTATGTGTAAGCATGGAGAGCTTGAATAGGCACATCATCACCTCCTAATATGCTCCATCCGTGTCACACAGGGAGTCTGCAGCACTGACACATGGCATTGGTATTTTCCACTAGAGAACTGTCACACACAGCACATGGAAAGTGGAGGAGCTCAAGTGTTGGTGAAATAGGGAATGTGTGTGTAGTTGCCCCACTTCAATGGCTCTGGGTGAAGCCACGTGTGCTATAGGCAAACCCTTGGCTGGAGGCAATGTTAGTGACTCCTTAGTGCTGTGATCAGGGTACAGATGTGACCTCCAGAACTAACCCCGTGTCCCTGGGACTGGATGTCTGTCTCTGTGCTGCTTTGCTGTTGCACCCTGTTCCTGAGCTGTGCAGAGGGTGGCTGAGACACCCTCAGTTTGGGTGTTAGGAAGGCATTTGCTGCTGGATATACTATTGACTGGCTTGTATGAGTAGTGTGCTGCTCCTGCAGCCCTCCTGTAGCATTGCTACCCCTCTACACCAAGTGTGCCTTGAGCCAGAGCAGGAGAACCAACACAAAAGCACCGAGAACAAGGTCCAGCTTCTCTGGAGAGTGATTCCTCCTCCCCTTTTGGGACTTGCAATGCCCACTGCTGTGACAGCAAGTGAGTGCAGTTACCACAGTGATGATGGGACCTCCCTACTCTGTTCTATCCACTGTTCCCTGCATGGAGCATCCTACCACATCCTCTTTTTTTTCCCCCTCTTCTCTGTAGCCAGAAGCCACCAGTCTCCTTTGGCTGTCACAGAGGAAGGTTGTTGTATGCCTGAAACTGGGGTTGTTCAGTAAAAGGGAGGCCCTGTGTGTGAGCCTACATCCATGTGGAGCTCATCCCATTATGTAACTGGGAATGATCCTTTTCTGGAGCCAGGAGGAGAGGTTGGGTCCGTGCCTATGAAACCACTGCCCTGCTCCAGCTCTCTCCCCTCCCACAGGCTGGAAATACAGGGCTCTTTGAGCAGGAGGCTGCAACAGGAACCTGTTGACCCAGGGGAGGAGCTGGGGCTATTCTGGGCTCTGGGGGGGGTTGGTGGAGCAGCTAAAAAGCATTTGGAGTATCTGTGAGCTGTTTAGAGCCTTGTGAGTCAAAGAGGGCTGAAATACATGCATGTGACCTATGGCTCTGACCCTATGCCCTGCCCTTGCTCTGTCCCCAGCAGCACAGTGGTCACCAGGTCAGTGTCATGCCAAGCTGGTGATGGCCACCACTGTGCCCTTCAACTGCTGCTGGGCTTTTCCAAGGCCTCCATCTGCCCCTCCTTCTGGAGGGGAGTCCCAGCAGAGTCTGTGGTTGGGAGCACATGGATCTGCATTGAGAGTGGCTACAGATGACTCTCAGCTTCTATGAAGTGGTTTCTTTCAGGTTCTTCTAGTTCTGGTTCCCTTTGTGAGTCTGGCTGGCTTTGGCTTGTTTTCCTTGCAGGGCTTCCTTGCTTGACCTGCTTTTCCTAAGGTTTGGAATATGGACAGGAAAACTGGGCTGAGTGGTCCTATGAGGGCTGTAGCAGCAAAGGGTTGTCTTTGGTTTCAGGTGCTGGATCTGGCTGGGATGAAGAGCTGGGTAAGGACACAGAGAGATGATCATCTGCAGCTTGTTAGTAGGTCTGGAGCATCTGAGTTGTTGCAGCTTAGGTTTTAGGGGAATTCTGTTGGGGTTTGGATCAGCAGGTGAAGTCCTGGTCTAAAGAGCAAACACCTTGACACAGAGAAGGGAACTGTGTGGGCAAGGAACAGCTAAAGCATATGGAAGAAGCCAGTGCCATGCTTTGGGGTAAGTACAGGCAGGATGCAGTTGATGTGAACACTGCTGGAGCCTGCAGGGCTCTGAGTTATCCAGATTTGGCTCTTTCCTGCCCATTCAGTGCACCTTTGATGGAAAGTGCAAGGCTGGGGGAGCCCCCTCACTCTGGGGGCTCACTTGGCTTCCAGCCCCACCAAATGAGAAGCTCTTGGACTGATACCCTTGGCCTGTGATGGACAAAGGTCCTGGGTTGTCAATTTAAGAGGCTAGCAAAGGGTCCTTGCAGCTAAGACCAGGGTTCCTTTGGTAGTTCAGCTCCAAAGGGTGCTGCAGCTTGTTCTCATGGCACGTATCCCATCCCTCCATGAGGGATGCAGCACAATGCCCAGCCATTGCACAAGATGGGCTGGTGCTGGGGCTTAGCTCTAGGCACAACCCCAGGCTGCCTTTGCCTTCAACCTCTTGCTGTCACTTTGGCTTCAGGGCCAGGGATAATGGCACTTGTGCAACTGCTGGTGTGAGCGAATGAGCTCAGACCTTTGGGAAGCTGCTTTCCAGGTGGTGGGGTTGTTCTTTTCCTTCTTCCTTGATCTCTGTGCCAACAGCACTGGCCAAAACTAAGATCCTTGGCAGCCTCCTTGGTGCTCTTGACATGAAAGTGCCACCAGCATGGAGTGTTGCCTGAGCCTCTTCAATGTCCTTGAGTAAACCTGCTCCTCAAGCAGCCAAGCACCTGCAGCTGCAGGCCTGCTGGGAATGGGCAATGGATTCAGGCCAGCACTGGTCATCTGGAGCCCTGCAGGGGCAATCCAACAGCCAAATGCTGAGCCACACCTCACCTCAGTGTGGCTGCTCCCACTTCTGCTTGAGAGCTTACACATAGCTTACTGCTCCATGTGGCAGGGGGTTGTAACTGGATGATCTTAAGGCCCTTTCCAACCCAAACCATTCTATGGTACTTGGAGCTTGGGCAGCACCTGGCAGAGCTAACCTGCAGGTGGAGTGAGGAAATCCATCTACTTCTGGCTTGCTACCTGGAGGAGGTGATTTGGGCCCATGGAGTAAGGCCCTTTACAACCATGTGTTGAGGGGCTGGCACCAAGGTCTCCCTCCTGCAGCAGTGCAAGTGGGACCCACAGCCAAAAAGCCAGCAGTAGGGCTGGTATGAAGGGGAGCCAGCCTTCTGGCATCTTCCTCTTCACCTCTGGCTTTAGCCCGTTGTATTGTAGCTGCAAGGAGCAGGAGGAATGGCAAAAGCAAGCTGTGGGACTGTGTGTGGATGTCAAGTAAATAAAACCCAGCTTGGAAATGGGCCTCAATTCACTTGTCTCCAAGCACCTGGAAATTTTGGATCTGGTTTGGAATCTCTATCCCAAACAGTGTGTTTTTCCTCTTCTAGAAGCAGCATTCTTCCACTAGAATGAAGAATCCAACTCTGCTTTGATAACAGTTGCAACACTTTTAACTGCATCTCTTTTGATTCCATTTCAGCCGTTAGATCCATGCCAACTTTCTTCCTAGGTGTAAAGTAACCCACCAAACCCCAAAACTCCCTCTTTCAAAGAAAGGGTTGAGAGGAGCTCCTGTCTCCTTTTGGGTTGAGTTTGTGGAGGGTTAATGGTGGGTTTATGCAGCCTTCTCTTCTCCAGGCTGACCCAGCCCAGCTCTCTCAGCCTGGCTCCAGAGCAGAGCTGCTCCAGCCCTCGCAGCATCCCCATGGCCTCCTCTGGCCTTGCTCCAACAAGTCCCTCTTGTGCTGTTGCCCCATAGCTGGACCAGGGCTGCAGGAGTGGGGGGTTCTCACAGAGCACAGCAGAGGGGGAGAATCCCTTTATTCCACCTCAGGCAACTCCTTGCAGCTTAATTTCTCCCTTCCTTCAAGCAGAGCTGTGCTTGGGAGGCTGGTGGGATGCTGTGTGTGAGGGGCAAGCGCTGGGTCACAGGGCTGCTGTCTCACTGGTCAAACACTCCATTAGTGTGCTCAGGCAGGGGTACAGGACGTGTTGTTCACAGCATATGCAACTAGAGATGTTTTATAGAGCACCATTTCCAGTAAGGAGAGGAGGAGAGTTTACTCTTTGCCTCCTTTTTGGCCAGGAGTTGAAAAGGACTCAGGGGTGCTTTGTATTCTTTGATTTATGGAGAGCTTTTTGTCTTTGCTGTTTCCTTCCTCGATGAAGGGTTTACTATGGCCTGGACAAGTGTGGCTTTGCTTTGCTTTTGAAGGTGGTGGGGCCGAGTGTGGGCTCAGCAGGGAAGGCAGATGTGGGCTCATGCAGGTGCTAAAAGCTGAGCTAAGGGGGGGGGGGGGGGGGGGGGGGTAATCTCTCCAGTTGTTTCCATTCTTCTCCCTGTGCTTTCTGTAGCTCCTGCTTTGATTTTCCAAGCTTTAGCTCCAATCTTTTACAGTCTAAGCACTGCAATGTTGCTGAGCCCTTGAGTGAAGGATGTTCTTGTGGTTTGAGGCACAATTTGGGGAGGAATTTGGGGGACAAGCACTGTAAAGGGAAGGATGGTGATTTAAGTACCAGCCCTTCTCCATTTCCTAAGAGGCAGAGGCTTGAATGCCTTTTGCATTTCCAGATGCTGCCTTTTCCTTAAATCCTTTTAGGTCTCAGGGGTCTTTGAGCTCCTGCTTAGCCATGGTAACTGCCCTGAGGGAAATGGAGGCCTTCTTCTGGGGTGGCGAGGAGTAGATGTTGAGCTGGAATTGCTACTGTTTTGCACAGCTTGCGTGTAGTTAGTTTGTTATACACCTAAAGCAGATTAGGAGAGGTTTTCTTGTCTCTTACTGTGGTCTCCAGTTTGTGTTTGTCTGAATCATTGTAATTCCCACTTACGGGGGATTCACAACTGCTGGTCCGTTGTTCTTTTCCAGCCTAAGCAAATCCAGCCTTTACTTGCTGAGTTGAGCTTGCTCTATCTGCAGGTGAACCCTCTGGGGATTCCACTTAAGAAAGAGCACCCAGCTCACAGGAGGCAGGTAAAAGCATATCCATGCATTGTATTTTGCCTCTTCCTTACTCTTAAGTCTGTCTTTACCATGGTCTGCTCCATCTCAGCATCCTTTGTTGCTGCTGGGTGCCAGAAGTTATCCAAGATACATCTCCCCCAGGCCTTTTTTTCCTCATTGCTGGGGCATTTCTGCCTTTTCTATCTTAACGAACCCCTTCATCTGATTTTGGAGTTCAAGCCTAAGCCATGGCATTAAATCAGCTCTTTTTTAGGAGTCATTTCATTCCTCCAGCAGCAGCTATTCCAAAGAGGACCCTTACAGCATGGGCAAGTTATGCACCTCCAAGACTTTGTAGCCTTTGCAGTCTGTCTCTTTGCATTGGGCATTATCGAAGCATTTGCATGTCTGAACCCAGGAGGTCACTTGGTCTATTTGTGGTCTCAAGTGAAGTGTAAGGAGATGGTTTGGTGATGGGTTTATTTTGCTTGCTTTCTTATTAAGGCTGCTTCTTCATGAAATAGCAGAATGGAAATAGTAACTCCTCAGCCATCCAAATGACTCTATTTGTGTTTCTTGCTGGATTTATTTCTACCTGGAAGCAGGGGGAGGGTGTGTGCTTCTGTGTGGCACATGGATCTCAAATGCTTAGTCCTTTAATAGTACTAAAAATCATCTGTGATCTGCTGGCAAAGGTCAGCTGTGGACCAGCACATAGTTGGAGTTCCTGGGTGAGAAGTGTGAGCTGCGACTCGTGGTCCTGCGTCTTCCAGATGGAAAGTCATAGGACGGAGAGGAAGACTCTTGGTGGCAGGTTACCCTTTCCTTTTGAAGGATCTGAGAGCATCAGCTGCTCTCCCATGGATGCTGAGCCAGATGAACCAGTCCTGACAGTTCTTTTCCCAGTGCATTTGGAATGGGTCCGTGCCCTGATAGACAGGAAACAGGGAACCTAGAGCTCAGTTACTCCTTCCGTTTGCACCCACTTTTGATTTCCTTATCTTTTTCTTGTCCCCTTCCCTGTCTAGTTTCTTCTTTGTATGTTTTTGGTGGTGTTTTCCCCTCTTCCTAGCAGCGAGCATCCTGCTGCTTGAGCACCTTGTGGTGGACCACGTCGGCCTCTTCTCGGGAGCATCCACGCGGCACACAATGGCGCACCATGGGATAAAAGCAGCAGAGCCCTTCTCAGCTCCTGCTATGTGCTTCCCAAAGCAGAAGGCAGAGAGCTGCCAGACTGAGTAAAGAATCCATCAGGGGTGTTTTGGTGGCTTTTATGGAGATGAGATGAAATGATAGGTTGGTTGTCCAGGGCCTTCCAGCAGTTGTCAGCTCAGCCCACTGAAGCCAACAGCTTCGGATGTGTCTGAAGCCATGCCGTCTTCTCCAAGTTCAGTTTCAGCCCACTGTTTGCTTGATTTCTTGCTGGTTTAGGAGCACTGCTAAGACAAAGCAGGATGATTTGCTTTCTGCACTCTTGTAGAGCATGGTAAGTGACTTGTTGAGGTGAACTGCGAGTCAGTGTTCAGTCTGATGTCCCTCGGCGCCTGGTTGCGCTGCTTGCAGCTCTGTCCCCAGGTCTCTGAGCTTGTGTTGCTTGTCAAATGGTTTCTCCATTAGGAAGAGCAGGTTGTATAAGAAACCATGTTAATGAAAAAGCCTGATAATGAAAGCTGTTGCCCCTGGAGGAGTCTCACTTTACTATTTGAATTTGGTTGAGGATTTAACATGATCCAGGGTGTTAAACTCAAGTGCCGGCTGGAGATAAAAACCCTTCAAGCAACTAGATTTTAAACAGGCAACACTGATGGGACAGTTTGTCCTCTAAAACGGGTAGAAAGTATGCTTTGGGTCTCTGACACTGTCTGCTGGCTACGTCAACACACCTCATGAGGCTGAGCATTAATGTATTTCCCCATTTCCAGTGCTGTTACTTGGAATGACCCAGGAGCATTGCCCTTGCACCAGTAAGACCTTGCTTTGAGACATAACAGCTCTAACTGCTGCATCAAGGCTCATTGTCAGGTTCTTTGGTGCTCTTTGCTTCTGCAACCCCATTTCCTCCGTCTGCATCCTTCAAGACTTGCAGTTTGGCACCTTATGCTGAAGAAGGGAGCATCTTCTTGCAGCCTCGGTCCCAACGATCACTACCTGCTCTTTCCTTTGCCCCTTTAGGTGTTGCTATTCCAGCTCCTCCACTCGTGGTGTCCCAGTTGTGTGGGGAAGGAAGCCCTTGGCCTGGCTGCCTCGCCTCAGAAGAATGCAGACAGTCTGGCAGAGGGCAGGTTAAATAAAGTTTGCCTTGGCAGGGCCCGTGCTCTTGGATGTACTATGAGCTGCCGGGGCGGAGTGGTGAGGGAATTGCAAGCACGAACACAGGCTGCCAAGAGGAACGGGGCTCCTGGCCCTGCTTCCCGACTGCTCTCCCATGGGACTCTTGTACTGGCCACATCACAAGCCTTATCTGTATGCCTGTGCCTATCCCAAGCCCTTGCTGATGTTCCTTCTTTGCTCTTGAGGATGTTGCCAGCGGTGCTGCACCACTGAGTCCTGGTCTTGCTGAATGGATGGGGACCCTCCTGGTGGGCTCTGTGGCATCAGGGATTCAAATCCTTATTCAAGGGGGAAGGATTTTAGGCAGTGGCAAGTGTTTGACTGATGGCTGTAGCTTTTGCTGTGACGTGGGGAAGTGATTTCATGTCTGGGCAAGGGGGTCTGCACCACTGGTTTAGTCACAGACTGATTTGGGTTGGAAGAGACCTTAAAGCCCATCTAATTCTAACCCCCTGCCACAGGCAGGGACACCTTCCACTGGAGCAGCTTGCTCCAAGCCCCTGTGTCCAACCTGGCCTTGAACACTGCCAGGGCTGGGGCAGCCACAGCCTCTCTGGGCACCCTGTGCCAGCACCTCAGCACCCTCACAGGGAAGAGCAGTTATAGGGCTTGTTTCAGAGTTAAAACACGACTGCCTGCAGCTCTCCGAATGGATATGACTTAGGAGGTTAAGGCCAGTCATATCCTTTAGCCATGCTCCCTTTAGGGACCAGTTATTTGGTTGCCTGTGACAGAAGGGTGATGGTGCTCCCCATGGCCTTTGCTTTTCCCCTGTGACTTTACAAATGTGTTTGCCTGTAAATTAAGGGCCATGTGTCCACTTCTGGTGCGTGGGGAGACTCTGTACTTGTGACACTGGTGTATAGACTTGCAAGCTGCATGTGAACTTCCCCAGTGAGCTGCTCTACCCCTCTAGGGCCTCTGATGGGCAGAAAGCTCCCACGTTGGTACCAAGCCTGTCTTTTCCTGACCTTTCCTTCTCTTTCCCTCTGCCCACAGGTGGCTGGAGGTGCAGGTAGTGAACCTGACCTGCACCCAGCGCTGGGTCCAGTACCTCCAGTTGCTACAGGAATCCATCTGGCCTGGAGGGCTCTTACCAGCAGTGCCCAAACCAGCCAGGACAGAGGAACAGAAGAAAGCAGCAGCAGAGCAGGCCCTGCAGAGCCTCATGGGCATCTTGCCTAGTAAGTGTGTCCCAGGGATGTCATCTGCCCTTGAGAAAGGAGCTGTGTACCAGGCTGGGGAACCCTCAAGTGCATTGGAAAGGTGGTTAAACACTGGGAAATGCTCATGGCCTTAGAGTTGCAATGGTTTCCTGCAGGCAAAAGCCACTTTTCCAGTTGCATTTAGGGAGCAGCACAGCATAGAGAGACCCAACGTGTGTCCTGGTGGTTCCCAGCTGAGGGTGGGCTCAGCAAAGCCAGCGCCACATTGTGGTCCCATCTGCTGCCAAAGGATTCCATTGCTGAGAGGAACTGTAAGGAAAAGCCTTTGGCTTCACTCTGAAGAGTGGCTTTTCCAATTGGGTTGCAGTCGTGCTGCAGTGCTTGACACACTTGAAGCTCTCTTGAAGCTTGACACAAGGACCTTTGGCATTAAAGCAGCTGCTGCATAATCCATGTGAGTGTGCTCTGAACTTTGAGCTCTTTCCTGCAGCATAAGAGGCCTTTACTATCCTTTGGGGATGAAAAAGCACTACCATTAGATGCCCTTCCAGCCTGGAATGCTTTCCTGGCATTTAGTGCTGTCCCTGGCTGGTTTTTGTCATGGTAATGCTGAATGGGAGATGCCTCAGGCTTGAAGCAGCATCATAAACTTTGATTTACTATCCACCAGCTTCAGACCGACCCAGTTTTACTACTGTGGAAATGTGCTATTCCTAAAACTTTCTCTGTTATTGACAGATGTGGTCCAGGAAATCCTTGGAACCAGTAAATGTCGGATGAGCTGGAATGTGGTCCTGGAGTCCCTGAGCCAGCCTGTCATCAATAGGTAGGTGGGTTATGGTCTCTTTACCCTGATAGTCTTTGTGATAGGGATTGTAAGCTCCACTGAGGGCTTCACCGTGACATGAATGCTGCTTGGCACAGAACACATCTGGCTCATGAGGATGGATTTGGACTGTGAGAGGGCATCCGGCTGGCTTAGTATGAAGATGCATGTTTAGGACCTTGGTCTGGCTGGAGAACATGGAGCCAGTGTTGTTCATGAGTTTGTGGATATCAAGGGACTGTCAAGAGTTAGAGAACTTCTGGTTTAGTTTGGTTTCAGCTGAGCTTAGGGAGCTGCATTTGTGTTTGCTGTATACCCAACACTATGGAAAGCAGTGTGATGAAATCTGTGTCACCTCACTCCAGGAGGTGCCTTTGTGTTCAAACACCCACTGCTTTGTGGGGTGGACAAAACCTGACCCATCCCTTCAAACCCTGCTTCTAGGGTACCAGATCTTTGGCACTCAGGATACTTCTTCCTTGCGTGAGCTTTGGCTTCTGCATGTGTGGAGCTGCTCTCCCAGGTCTGCTCTGCCCTCACCAGCCTCAGCTTTGTCTTCTCTCCCTTTCAGGCACCTGGTTTTCTGCCTCTTGGACATCCTGCTGGAGTTCTTGGTTCTGAAGGGCTCCAGCGAGGAGCTTGGGACCTCATCTGTGTCACCATCAGCCCCCAGTGGCCTGGACAAAGCCCATTGAGCAGGGCTGCTGTAGCCAGCAGTGGAGGAGAGAAGCAGCCGCTGGCATGGGATGGTTTCATTTCCAGTGTTCACTGAACACATGTGAGAGCTGCTTGGAAAGAAATGGCCCAGACAGTGCTAAATGAAGCTGCTTCCAGGCTTCTTGTGGCTGGGTAAGGGATTCAACCCGGTGCCAGGGGCTATGTAGCATCTGTCTCATTGTTGGAGAGCCTGCAGTGAAGATGCCTGACCTGTGCTGAGCTGGACACTGAGGAGGATACTCAGGCTGCCCTCAAAGCCTGTTGTCTCACTCTTGTGTTTCTAACATCTAAAGGCAGATGGCAGGTAGGGTTTGTTTCTGGCACACCATCAAGACTTGATGTGATGGGATGTGGATGATGGATGTTTCTCCAGGAGGACCAAATGCTCTCTAAGCAGCCTGCCCTGTGCCTCTGCCCCATCATCTCCTCTACCAGAAGGAAGCATGTGGAGCTTGGGAATGTGGTGACAGCCCTGAAGTGAATGCTAGGGACCCATCCCCACTGCCCAGAGAACTGGGAGGTGGGAAGCAGTGCAGACATCCAAGCTGCTCTTCTGCTTTAGGGACCAAGATAAGCTCCTTCCCACTGCCACTGCTCCTTCACGGTTGTGTTCTGGCATCTCTTCCTGCCTCAGTAGCAGGGTACAAGTAGGATAGGCTGTGGTTCTGGTAGAGCTGTCCTCAGGCTCAGGAGGAGTGTTAGCATAGCTGCACTGCAGGATCACCTTGTGTTTTGCCTGCTGGGTCATGTTTTGAGTCCCAGAAGCTGTCACTTGGAATGCACAGGAGAAAAGGAGCTGCCCCGTGTGTGACGCTTTGCAAGTAAAGCAGCTTCTGCACACAAGTGCTTGTCACAGCAAGCTCTGGAAGAGGAGAGAGCACCTCTGAGCCCAGGAAGAATACCAGAGGCCTGGCATAGAGCACAGTGATGGGCTTGAGAGCACCACCTCAGGCTCTGTTGGTCATTGCTGTGTCACCGTGCCTTGCTGCAGCTGCAGTGTGCAGAGGAAGCTGCTCAAGGTCATGATGTCCAGTGCCACCCAGCACAGAATGAATGGCATGTCATCTTGCTAGCTGCTTTCCCAGCTCATCCAAGGCCTGAGTGGCTCTGCAAGCATATGCTGCCTGGCTGGCAGGTTTGGGACAGGGCACATGGACACAATATGCACCAACAGAGCAGTCTGGGGACTTGCTCCTGGTGGGAGAAAGATGAACCGAGCAGTGCTGGAGCTTCCTGATGGATAGGACACTGCTCTTGGTGCTCTCTACACATCAGAAGAGACTTTTCAAGAGGGAAGCCTGCAGGATACCAGCTAGTTCCTGTGTTCTAATGCCAAACGGTGCATTCCATCAGCGCAGTTCCTCAGACCTGGATACTCAGTGGCATTTTTGGAGAACAACATGGAAATCCAATGTGCTTACTACTGGAATTACTACAATACTTACTCTATTCTCCTTCCCAGGGACAGCTGCTTAATAATGGACACGCATAGTGTGTGCTGCTTCATGCTTCTGGTGTGTGAAAGTACAGGGAAGGATGAGCTTGCTGCCAGCATGTATGTTTTTAGGGAGCCCTAAGGCCATCCCAAGACTAGGCAGGTTCCAAGGTAATGAAGCAAAGAGGTTTGGCATCATTCAGCAGTGGCACTTGTGAGATGATGACTTGCTACCTGCTTGGAAAAGGAGGGAGTATGGGTTAAGTAGGTTAAGAGTAGGTTAGGCAAAGCATTGGAGATGGTCCCAAATGGCCAAGCAGCAGGATGGGAAGCAGGACTCTCATGTATCTTTAAGCACAATGTGTGTTTCACTGCCAGGCTTACTTCCCTTCTTGGTCTTACTACTTCCATTTACTCCATCAGCTCTTGAGGAGTGGGAGAAGGAGCCCTTCTGTGGCCCTGTTGAGCTTGGTGGCTTCCTAGGTGCTTGCCTGTTGTTTCCTGATGGATTTAATGTGTTTGGAGCTTCATGGATTTAGGGGTATCATCAGGAGGCTAAAAACCATCATTCAGAGATGGACTTCACACCATGTATGTGGCTTTGGAAGGATGAGCTCACGCTTCTCCTCCATTCAGCATCCCTGCTGTGTACCCTTATCTCTGACATAATGCACGTAATCCCATGTTCAACCCTCCTGATGGACATAAAGGGTGGTTTCTGCTGGAGTGCAGCTGCAGAGCCACTGCTTCACTGGGATGCTGTGACAGTGGGCAAGGTTTGATCCCAAGGAAAGGCTGCAGGCTGCTGTTACGTTAGCTATAGAGCAGTAAACAGTTGGATGCTCATCTGCGTGTACAACACTCATTGCAGTGTATAGAGCTTCGGGACCCCACTGTAAGTTACATAGGAGTTGTGTTGAGCCAGAGCTTGGTGTTTTGGGGGTAAAGAACCACCATGCGCTGACTCCCTGTTGTATTTCCTGTGTTCAAACCCTTGTAGCAGGTATTTGTGGTGCGATGCTTCAAGTCTGTGGAAGTGCCCTGTCTTGAAAGCCTGTTTTGCTCTGAAATGGGGAGCAAAGTGATGCTCCCAAGTACTTGTAACTTATGTCTCTGTGTACAATAATACTGCCTTTCAAACTTGTTTCTGTGTTGGGGTTTAAAATGGGCCTTTGCTCCTAAACTGCTTGTAAGCCCTTGGGAAGAGAAGAGTAAGGAAGGGGGAGAGTGGGAGGGTGGGTGGCATTGGGGCTGGGATGCTCCTGGAACACAGTGGCATATCCATGGCAAAGACCCGATTCCTTAGAAGCTTGGTGAGGAATGGGGACAGTTTTTCCCCTCTCTGGTAGCATCAGCATTGCTTTTTCCTCCCTGAGAAGCAAACTTGTGGATTTAGGCTCTGCAGTGAGTGTGAGAGCAGAGATGTTTGGCCTTTCTCCTGCAGGGAAATGGAAGCCACCCAGGGTGATGCAGCCCCATTTCAGCATCCTTTGGGCAGTGCTGCTTAGGAAGCTCCCCTTGCTATTGGGCCGGGAGGAGGAAAACTGGGAAGCTAAAAGGAAATGAAGAATGCCTGAAAATGAGCAATTCCACGTGAAAAGTGAAATATTACATCTAAGGAAAAGAAATAGAGGGGAGGAAGCAAAACCTGATACAATGAGTACTTGGGGCATGTATTATTGTGGATTAGTTCTGCCAGTGGAAAGGTCCCATCCACCCCATGAAATCCATTACCTCCGAGCCAGGGAGCATTTGTACAGCACATGATGTGGGGAGCGTGGTCGAAGCCAAGTTCCCCTTAATAACATCCACCCCAGGGGAGATTGGGCCATTTCCAGTGTCAGCAGCCAGAGGATGAAGCATTTATCTCTGCAGAGCAGTGGCTAATGAATACCAGATCCATTTAGGAGCTGTGCTCAAGAGAAGGAAACCTGTTCCTGCCTATATTTGGGACCGAGTGGGGCTTTATTGCTCAGTGATGGGGAGTGGGATGCTCTGTTCTCTGCACTGCAAGGTTGCAGGCATTGCCTTGAGATCCAGGGATGCGATGGGAGGGCTTCCCAAAGGAAGCTGGGGGTGAGCTCTGTCTTTGTGGCCACGGGGATAGCTTTTAGGAGTGAAAACCTATCAGGAGAGCTTTCCTTCCAGCCCAGAGGTGGAAGAATGGAATCGGGATGCTGCTATTTGCCATCTTTCTGGATTTAAATGGAAAATGCAGGTTTTGGCCCTTCTGGTTTCTTGCAATCATGCTGTTGTGCTGGCCACAGGCCAGTTCAGGTAATTATATTCTTCCTACCTTAATGCCACTCCAGCCCCCCTGTCTCCACTGGATATCCTATACCCTAATTCCTGTCTGGAACTTGCTTATTATGTTACAAAGTCTTTATTTTTTCCCTCCTCTGGGTACAAGTTGTGCACGGGGCAGGAGCCAGCCCCAGCACTGCTGAGCTGCTAAAATACTTGAGAGAACCTGCATTAGGCATTTCACTGGGCCTGGGAGCATCTCTCCTGAGCTGGGAAGGTAGATGATACATGAGATTGGAGAATCATGGAATGGTTTGTGTTGAAGGGACCTTAAAGCTCATCCACTTCCAACCCCTGCCACGGGCAGGGACACCTTCCACTAGAGCAGCTTGCTCCAAGCCCCTGTGTCCAACCTGGCCTTGAGCACTGCCAGGGATGGGGCAGCCACAGCTTCTCTGGGCACCCTGTGCCAGCGCCTCAGCACCCTCACAGGGAAGAGTTTCTGCCTAAGAGCTCATCTCAGTCTCCCCTCTGGCAGGTTAAAGCCATTCCCCTTGGCCTGTCCCTACAGGCCCTTGTCCCAAGCCCCTCTCCAGGTTTCCTGCAGCCCCTTTAGGCACTGGAGCTGCTCTAAGGTCTCCCCTTCAGGAGCCTTCCCTTCTCCAGGCTGACCCAGCCCAGCTCTCTCAGCCTGGCTCCAGAGCAGAGCTGCTCCAGCCCTTGCAGCATCTTCATGGCCTTCTCTGGATGCCAGAGCTCAGTGCAGGACTCGAGAGCGAGTGTTGCCCTTCCATTGAACACAGTGGACTGCTAGAGACCCACTTCTCAGTGTGCTTTAGGCTGGTGAGTGTGTTAATAGGAGGAAACTCGGGACTCCTGGATGCTTGCCTTACCTGTGTTGCCATTGCTTCATGCTCAATTATGTCCTTACTTCCAGATGGGGGAAGAGTCCTCATGTCTTTGAGAACACTGTAACTGTGCCCAGACCTCTCTACTGATGCAGCAGCTCAATCCTGCCTTGATTTGAGGTTAGCATCCAGCATAAAGAAACCCCATTTCCTGTCGTGCATAAGCGATGCTGAAACTTGAATACCTGGTTTCCCTTTTGGAGTGCAGCTTGTCTGCATTGGTGGCTCGTTGGCCTTTCTCTCCCAGTGTTTTTCCCTTTGTACAAGTATTTCAAGTCTCCTTCATTCCTTTTCAATTAAACTTTCTTCAGGTCCCAGCCTCGCTGAGCACTTGAAAAGGCTGCTCAGGCGGTACTTGAGGAGAGTGTCCTGTAATTCCATGTACTTCCTTCCTGTTCCCAGGCCCCTTCCCTCTTCCATGGCCCTTGAGGGCAAGGAGGGTTTGAGGGATGTGCTGGGGGGGGGGTTAGGATCAAAGACCATAAACTACTGCTTAAACCATAGGGTTACATTGGCAGAGCCTCATTAACCCACTGCTTCCCCTTCTTCCTCCTTTGCCCCTGCACATCCACCAAGGCAAACATAAGCTGCCTTGATGGCTGAAGGCTCAAGTGTGGGTGTGCTCAGTGTGGCAAAGCAAAAGCAAAGCCCCTTTTCCATGCAGGCCTCTTCACATTTATCCCCCCTGGAAGGTGGAGCTCTTGAAATCCCGATGCTCTTTAACTTTGTCCCTTCCTCCCTTTGCAGGCTTCATTGTCGCCTTCCGCTCCACTCCTTGCTCTTTTGTCCTGGGAGAAGGAGGCTTTTAATCCCCTTGTACTGCAGATTAAAGCCATTAGAGCCTCCCCAAGCTGACAGGTTCTCAGAGGGGCTCACAGCCAGGTCTTTATGAGTGTTCTCTCTCTGTCTGCTGCTGCCTTTCTTCTCAGCACACGAAACCTCCCTCCCTGACCTTTCCCTCCAGAGGCAGGGGCTGTAATGCACAATCCCATGTAGGCAGTGACTGGGCGCAGCAGGGCTTGGGCTGCAGGAAATGAAGAGCATGGAAATGAGCAAGTAAGTAAGGAGAGGAAGGAAAGATGATGGGAATGAAGAGAGAGAAGCAAAGCGAGAGCCGTGTTTGGGAGCTAAATGCCAGGCTTGGGGCTGTGTATTGGGAATGTTCCTGTCTTTATCAGTGGACAAACAACGAACCTGGGACTCATTTTTAGTACCTGAACCCGCAAATCCACTCCCACTTTGCATTTGGCCCAAGAGTAACAGGTCCATGCACCTACATGTGCCCTGGTAGATGTTGAGTTTGTGAGCTTTTGGGTTCAGGGATGACTGTTAGTACTATGGGGCCGTGACAGCACCTTTGTTACTATAGGCCATCACATGATTGTACATCACCCCCTGAGACTGCAAAAGGGATGAACATGCTGCTCCTTTGATGAGGGTAGCTGGCTAAAAGTAAGTATGCTGATGGCAGAAACATCTTTATTACAGGGTCTTCTGGCTCTTTCCATCAGTCCTGCCCCTGCAGAATGTGCTGCACGTGTCCCACAGTCGTTGGCAAAGCACCAAAGAAGGTGGAAAACTGGCCCTAAGGTGCATTCCCTAGGGAAATGGTGTAGAATTGCCTCAAACAGGTCCCTTTTCAGGTCAGTGTGCACCATACAAGGATGCGTTAGGGCACAGGAGTGGTGTGTGATGCCAACACCCTTTTTGAGCAGGGAGGAGGCAGTTTGGAGTCCTGTTCTCCAGGACCTCCTGCCTGATTTTGGCCATGGTATGAGGTTGATACCCTGCTCCAGAGCTGTGCAAACATCCCATTGCTGCAAAGCTTCGGATGCTGTGCGAACCCCTTCAGCTTGAGCTGAAGAATACCACGCAGTACCTATGGCGAGTCATGCTTCAGTCTTCACTCACATCCATTTATCTGTGGGTTATGTTTGTACCTCCCTTGTGAAAGGACAGACAGAGAATGTGCTTGTCTTTACAAGCACCTTGAGAGCACAGCCTGGCTTGAACGGTTCGCTCAGCATCTCCAAATTCAGCTAAAATAGGTGCTGACCGCATAGAAGAATTCCCATCCTTAGTGGCTGTAACAGTGAGCCAGCTTACAGCCCTTGTCCTCCCCATCCGAGGGCAGCAGTGAAACGCTTTCAAAGCAAGCAATAAAAGTGCAACTGTCCCCTTCTGGGAACTCATTTTGGGGCATAAGTTCCCCTGCCAGCCCAGCTGGCTGGGAATGAAATGGAGCCGGGAGCTCCCCTCCAGAGGGGCCGTACGTGTGAAACGTTGCCATGTCGAATCCATCCGAATCCTCCACCGGGGAAGCCCCCAGCTCTGTAATTAGTGGGTTTCAAGCAGGCAGCCTTTTCTTTCTC